GTGGATGTCTGTATTTGTTTCCTTTAGTCAATGTTTTGTATATTGGTGAACATTTTTTGTTCTGAAGGCACACACAAATAAAGTTATATGTATCCAGGAGTTTTGTAACACTAATTTTCCTGAAATAAACACAATTCCCATTTGTCTTGTCTCCCTCATTTTTCTTTCTCCATCTAAATCAAAGCAGTGTTTTATTTAACCTATGTATCATCTGGTGTGAGCAATGAAAGCAAAATTTAGGACAAAATTTTAGTCCTAAAGACTGAAGGCTGGAAAAGTTAGCTAGACAGCAGCCCAGCAGAGTTGGGACATATCTCCCCTGACTCCCAGTTATGTTATTCATACTAGGCAAAGACTAAAAATTGGACAATCTTACCACTTGGTTTCTTGTTTTTACCTAGAAATTGCTATGGTTTTTTCTTCATGCTACTGACCTAAGATTCCTCATCATGAGAAAAGCAAACACAGCCACTGAAAAGCAATATTATGAAGCCTAAGTACCACCACATTTGGAGCCAGACCACTTGATACTCCAATGGCTCAATCATCTACCAGCCTGTGTTCTTGGGCTTATTATCTATGTTTCCAGCTTCATTTTTCAGGGACTACTACAACTAAGCATATGGAAACACGGAGATGATGTAAATTAAGTGCCTGACACATTAGGTGACAAAAAATGAAATCAATTATTACCAGAATGTATTTCTCTTATGTGTTGAGTCTTCCTCACTTTTTCATTCCTCAAATCATTGCATATGTAAGGAAATTCTACAGCACTTAACATGACTGCAAGTGTGTGCTAATTTAAAAAATGATTATGAACTATTTCAAACATACAGGAAAGCATAGAAGATAATATACCATCACCTATATGTGTATCCATTAAAAATATAGTGCTGTCTTGTTTTAAAACTTTATATAAATGATATCAGATTGTCCATATTATTCTATAACTTGTTCCAATCTCCTCAGCATGTTTTTGAGATTTATACATGTTGATATATGTAGCTTTATTTTTAATGCTCTATAGTGTTCAATTCTATGAACCTACCATAACGTATTTCTGCATTCTCCAACCGGTGAACACTTAGATTGTTTCTAGTTTTTCACTATCACAAAAAATATTGAAATAGACATCCTCTTCACAAGTGCTTCTTTGGCTACCCATGAGAGAGTTCCTCTTAAGTACAAATCCAGAGGGAGAATTGCTAGGTTCACAAGATATATCCATTTTCAACATTACTAGCTATTGCCAAATTGTGTTCCAAATTGCTATCACATTTTGTTGTTGCAGTTTGTGGGTTTTTCTGTTCGTTTATTCATTCTTTTTACTTACCATATTTTATATACGATAAAACTTACCCATTTAAAGTATACAATTCATTTTTAGTGTGTGTGTGTGTGTGTGTATACATATTTGCAGAATTGTGCAACCATCGCAATATAATTTTAGATTCATGTAATAGTATTTTTATTTATAAATACACTTGACATCTGTAAAGCTGGTTATGTGTACTGTCCAAAGTATCAATGGAAATCCCCTGGGAAGAGCTTGTTTATAGAGATTTCCTTGTTTCAAACATGTTGAGTAGGTAGCTAGAAGGAACATTCCTCATTAGATTATGAAACAGCTTCAATGCAGGTTCTTGTTATTTGCTATAAAAAGCATTCCTATTTATTCACCTCAGAGTAAAATGACTCAGAAGTAACTCTATTTGAAGAGAATGGGAGGAGTGCTATACCAAATAAAGGAGTTATTTTCCCCCAGAACAATTCTTGCTCATGCCAGAAAGGGAGGGAGGTGTGAACCAGCATAAACGTTGGAGTAAACATTTGCAAAAGCCAGTACACCGGCAAAGGAGAAGAGAGAGCGACCGTCTCACCCCACCCACCCCAGGTTAACTTGTTGAGCTTTTAATCAAATAGTTTCAGGCTGAGTTATTAATTAATGGCATTTCCAAGACTATTTTCTCCAATTCAAACAATGTGTTAACTGACAATGTGGATTGCCAAATATGACAGAATAAAAATTTATATAAGATTATTCTTATCCAACTACTAAATATTCAAAATCTAATATATTTTTCTACTTGGAATCTCATAAGAAACATCAGGTTCACGGACGACATTGGTTCTCGTATTATTTCATTCCTTTTAGTCATTCATTGACTGAAGGACATCAATTTTCAAACGCTCTGGCTTTCTGAAATTTCCTCCTTGCCCTTCAGACTCTCCCATCAGTACAGAGGGTACCATCACATTCTGTGATCCATCCAGGAGGTGACATTAAGACTGGGCAAAGTAAGACTGTGATGAAGAGAAAAAGCACAGACACAGGGCTGACTGCCTAGGGCAGACACACTGTATCTCCCCTTGCCAGCAATGCAGTTGTGGCAACAGCTTCTCAACCCTGGGTCCCAACCCAGTCATGGGTCAGGAGGCTTTACCTAAAAGTAGGAAACAGCCTGACCCGACAGTGAAGCATGGCATATGGTCTGAGACAATTCTGAATTGGATAATTACACTAAGCCATCCTATACCCTCAGCAAGTTGGGTCCCAAATCAGATTTCCCCATGAGTCTGTGAAAATCGCTTTCACCTCTTTTTACAGGGTCCTCTGCTGAGCAGGGAGGTGGCTCTGTAAAATCTCTACACCTGAATTTAGTATTTACTACCATTCTTAAACCCCACTCTTTGGGGTTTAAGAATGAGTTCTCTAAACCCCATTCTTTGGGGTTTAAGAATGAGCTACAGTCAATGATGGGACCCAAGGAAGCTGTTTCTGTAACTAGCAGTGTCACTTCCTACATATTGAGGTCTGGGGCCCTTATAGGAAGTTTTGGGTAGTCCACTCCAAGGCCCAATTAAGGCCTTAGGATCTGCAAAGGTGAAGGAGAGAATGAAACAGAAAACAGCCATGACTTCCACTGGAAGGAATTAAGTCCAGCAAGCAACTTGAATTCAGGATAGAAATTGTTAGTCAGGACAGAAAGGAGCAAAGCTGATGAGTGCTTCTCTCATGACCTCCTCTGCCCACCCCAAAAAGGAAGAGATTAACTAAACTTCATTCAACCTGTATTTCCACATGAGGCAAAATTATCTAGAAGTTGCTCAGCCCCAGAAAAGGTTCAGTTAAACAAGCCCCGCCCCCCACATAAACTCTCCAACTCAAAAGCATACATTTATTCACTGAGTGTGAGGAGCAACACACACAGCCGAGGCAGCCACACCTGGGCCATTCCCCTGAACTGGTTTCAGAATTGGCACTCCTAGACTCCACTTTCCTGCTTTTCTAGTTTATGGCCCAACTTCCCTAGCTTGTTACAGCCCTGGGGCCATGCTCATGTATCCTTCCTGCCCCAGGCTCCCACACCTACACTTAACAGCTCACACATCCCTTGCTCATGGTGAGTGGGCTTGTCTCAATTTTCAGTGCCTAGATGGGAACTGTGTTGCACATGGAAAAAAGGCCCAGCCACTTTTTCTCTTTGTTTGAAATGTACTCTCCATAAACCACGAGGGTTCCAAGCACAGGGTTTGGGCTAGTTATAAATTCATATTTGCCCTCTCCCCCATGCCACGGTACAGATTAAATGTGGGTAGGCAACAATAGTTCTAGTAGTATAGAACTGGTACAGTAGTTATGTGTGCAGCACTATTTGAGTGCTTCACACGTATTATTTCATTTAATCCTCAAGATACCCTATCAGGAAGGTACTATTTTTATTTCAGGATGAGGAGAACTGAGTCCCAGAAAAGCTAGATGTCTTGCTCAAGATAAAAATTAATATAGAGGACAGGGGTGAGATTCAAACACAGGTGGGCTGACTCCACGGCTGTGGTGCTCACAGGCAGGCCATGGGAGGAGTCCACTTGGTGACAGGTGGAGAGAATTTTAAAATAATAAAACCAACTAGAGTTATTATCCCATGTATAAGCAATTTTCAATAATGCAATGAAATATTTTTCCTTACTTGGGTGGGTCACTCTTGTCATTAGGCCAGATGCTACCATGTCTGTCCATGGTGCCTGACACTGGAATAACTGTGGTACAACTCTGAGGCAAGCTCAACTGTGACACTAAAGATAGCTGAGCAAAAATATGGGAAGAACCGGAGTTTTTAAATTACTATTGTGATAAAATACAAAATTTACCATTCTAACCATAATTCAGTGGCATTACATACATTCACAATGTTGTGTAAAGATCACTACTATCCATTTCCAGAACTTCATCATCCCAAACAGAAACTCTGTACCCATTAAACGTGGCTCCCTATTCTTGCCTCCCCTTCTGTCTCTGTAAATTTGACTATTCTAAGTACCTCATATAAGTAGACTCATACAATATTTGTTCTTCTGTGTCTAGCTTTCTTTCACTTAATGTTTTCCAGGTTCATCTACATTGTAGGATATATCAGAATTTTATTACTTTTCAAGGCACCATAATATTCCACTGTATGTAAGATCCTGAGTTTTTAATGACACCTTTGAGGCACTATATCTTAGGGGACCTGCTGTTAAGGTAGATGATAAGTTTACCTTATGGTGTAGGTCGTGTGCATTGGATTTTTTGTTTCTTACAGCTGGAAGAATTCTGACACATAACACACAATTCATATTCTTCTATGAAGCTCCAGGGTGGACAATAAGGCCCACAGAGAACTCAAAATGGAAATGTTCTAGCATGTAGCAAAATTTTCCCAAATTTACCCAAGGATGTGTGTAAATCTTTGTATGTGTACATATGTGTATACACACAAACAGAGAACAAAGCCCACACCTTTACCTCTTTTCATCCTCAGTTTAGTTATTTTGATAATCTGTTGTTAAAACTGTTAAGTTTGACAATATTTAACATTTTTCATCAAAAAATATTTTGAACTCCAAAATGAGTGACACTGTGCCATATGCTCTACAGAATACAGACTGACATCTCTTTTCAAAACACTCTTCCACAATATTCACTGGAGTTAGTAATAATCGAATTTAGTCAAGGATAAAGAATAAAAACATTTATTTAAGAAATACCATCCAGTTCTGAGTTTGGCAGACACAAAGGGTAGGTAATAACTGTTTTGTTGGTGTATGAAATTTAAGACACAGGAAGTAGTATGGCAAACAAACAAAAAAACAACAGAAAAAACACACTACTTGTTATTAAAACTGAAAAAGCAAAGTGAGTAGTAAGCTACTATGATAGAAAGGGACTTTAGGGTAAGCAAATGTCACCATAAAATTAAAATAATCTCCTCTTTAATAAGTACTAGTACAGAAGAAAGCTAGACTTGCAGGATTACTGGAGAATGTTCCCCAATGGAACGTTTGGTTCATGGCTGTGAAGAGGTGGATTGCACAAAGACGTGAGCAGACCCCAGTTCTAATAGGGGGTACAGAGAAGTGGGAATAAGGAGAAATAAAAATCAGACAGAGTATCTTTGCTCAAGGGTCCCTATAAAAAATGTACTTAAAAAAATCTGAGAAAGTACATTCTTTCCAGTGACTATAGAAGTATAATGGACAGCATTAGAAATCAATTACACTGTAAACATATAAGAATACCCTTTCACTGTAAGCATATATAAAGTCTCCTGCAATTATTATACATCACATTATAAAATTCTGGATTTTTTTTTTTTTTTTTTTGCTTGTTCCCTTTTCTGGTTCCTAGTTGTTCAGATTCTAGGAGAGAACAAAGGCCTTCAGAGATCCATCAATCCAGTCCTTTTACTTCACAGATAAAGGAGGGTAAGTAACTTGCCCATGGTCACATTCATTCTCAGTGACAGAGACTGGACTGGAACCAGATCTCCTGATGCCCCAGCAGGTGCTTTTCACATTACAACATGACATGATTCATACCCAACTGTCCTGGTCTGTACTTGATAATTCTCCCTCAATCTCAGCTGGGGCAGAAGGGCTGTGAGGGGAAGGAATAGGTCTGGCTGGGGCTTCTCTGGCTTGCTATGAGTGTGGGATACTGGAAAAGGAAGCAATAAAACACATCTACTTCTACCCCAATGCACGTGGGTGTGCAGGCATGCGCACACACACACAGTGAGGATTCTCTAAATACCTGAGAAATATTTCCTGGATAGAGCATTGTGCACGAGAGAAATTTTTAAAGGTTACCATAAGTTATTGATTTTAAAGGAAAATATCTGGCCAAGGACACACACTCATACACCTTTTAGAAGGGCTGCAAATAAAGACCTGGTTACATGAGGACCTTCAGGCTCCAGGGCACATCTCAACACTGCTCCGTGTAGACAGCGTCCCTAACCACTACGCTCTCAATGGGCTACGAATCAATGGTAGAAATTGCCTCCAAATACACAAATTCCAGGAGGAAGAAAATGCGTCTGACTTGATTTTTAAACGCCCCACCATTTTTCACATCTATTTCTGGTTTCATATTCACCAGTACTCAACAGTCCATATGTTCCATTCTGGCTATCCAGATTCCAGGGTAACAATTTGGGGGATGCTTTATCACAACCTTAATGAGAGATGTCTCAGGAGAGTGGTCAGATTTCTCGGGGCCATTCTTATGTGCGTCCTTTGAGAACAAAATTCAGTGAAAGTATTATCATATTTTAAAATGTCTATCATACAAGTTTTTATTCGAGGTTCAACATAAGGACTAGGAATTGAGAATATCCTTTGTCATATTCACAACCTGAGAAAACTGTGAAAGGAAAGTTCTCGAAACTGTGACAATCTCAAGTTTACTGAAACAGCGAAAAGGACCACGATTCTATAAACTGTCCAGAAAAATTTACCTTTCTTATACTCTATAGGTTTCTCTAAGAATAAGGATCACTTTTATTTAAACTTTTCTTGGAAATTGCTTTCTCAAGTGAAGATAAATCATTTGTTTTAAGAGAGACATGTGTTCTGTGTTCCATCTCAGGCAATAAATTGCCTTTGTACCATATTTCTTGTCTCTTTCCATATAGTTTGTTGTGTCTTATACACAGACTCCTGAAAAATTCTTTCTACCTGTGTAGGAAAGCCACGACTTTCTTCCTCTAGGGCATTGATGGTTCGCAGAGCAAAGGGAGTCTTTTCCCGAGGCAAGGGATTGTTCAGGGGTCGCATGGGTATAACGGAGTTGTATTTGTGATGCCTGTTAACAGAGTTCATTAGGGATGTATAGAACTGGAACTTACACCAGGTATCTCTTAAAAAGTTTTCAGTCAATAATAAGATTGTCCATGCAGAACCATTTACAGCATCATCTAAATTCTGTAAATGCTGTCTGCCACATGGCATCTCAGCAAAGATTATTCCAGGTCTGATGCCAAAGTCATTTTGTAGCAGATCCTGGACTCTGAGAGCTTCATCTGTGTCATCTTCTGCATGCAGAATCACAAATTTGAGGAACACTTCTTCTTCTGCTTGCTCTTCGGGCATCTCTTCCGCTCCCTCAGTTCCCTCCTGCTCTCCCGTTGGCACCTCTGTTGTATTGCTATGCTCAGCAACATCACGCAGGGAGATTTCAGATTTCTTGGAATCTGACTCATGATGTCTTTGACTTGTATCCACACTGTGGCTTTTACTCAAAGAGAGAGAAAGAGGGCAGGAATCTATTTTAGACTTCCCGATACCCATTATAAGTATCCAAATCAGAAGAGAAAAGCTTTATTTATATCTCAGCATTTCTTTTCATTCTAAAAAAAGAAATAACAAAGAGAACACAAATTTAATCGAAGCATTAAAAATGGAAACGCGTTCAACCTGAAAAGCTCAAAAAGATTCTAATATATAGATCCTAAGAAAGAAATGCCAAATAGATCATTGGGAAACAAAATCACTTGTCTTTTGTGCACTTCACAAGGGCCACCCACAGGTAGTCAAGGGTAAGGTAAGGAGGGTCCCGTTTAATGTAACAGGAGACATTAGGAAATTTGAAATGGTATTATATTAGCACTAAAAACCTCCAGATTAAAATAAATTCCTTTGGTATTTTAGAGGAAAGGATATCACTCTCTTTATCTGAGTTTAAGTCCAATTTCTCCATTATCAAATTATTGTGTGGACTACAAATATGAAAATCTAAACAAACAGAATATTCAAATATTAAATACACAAATTATTTTTTTATATCAAAAACATATACAAAACAGAATACAAATATCCTAAAGACAGCTAGCAGGCAGCTAGCTCTACTGTCTCAGCATAAAGGGATCCGAAATGTCAAATCTCCCTGGTTCAGAGCATTTTTGTTTGCGTAGAGCCAGGCACTATTGTTGTAGTGGTGCTGATGGAGAAATTATAATAAGGATTGTAAAAAGTTAAGAAATTCCTTTTTCCAGCTAATCCTGGTAATACTGAATAAAACATATTTTTTCACATAGGGAAAAATTAACATCTTGCTTTGGAAGTGAAATCTGGAACAAAGACTTGTGATTTTCTCCAGTGAAGTCAACAAATAATCAAAATTGTCTATACTCATTCTTTTATTTTAAAAATTCTAAATCCAGAATGGAAGAATTAGATTAGCCCTGAAAGAAAAGTATTCCGTGTGAATCTAATTTAAATAAATATTAAGATAATGTTGGCAATGTTGTTAATATGACTTCAAAATAGGCTGTTTCAAAGGAGATTCTTTTATCTAAAGACAGAAAATTTAGAATAGATAAATATAGATTCCATATTTTCAAATACAGGCCCACAAGCTATATTCCAGAGCATTTTTATTTATTGTTCATTGGCAAAGACCAAAGTTCAATAAGAAATCCGAATTATATTCATACTAACATAGCACAGCTACATATACCAAAATAATTCAGGCTTAGAAGAAACTGTTCAGCAATAATGGTGAAAACTGTTATGGAAGAAAAGATAAGAAAAAACACATAGAAAACTTTCTAATGTATATAAGAAATGTAAACATTTGCTGCCTCAGAATGGTGAAGAAATTACTGGCTACTGCCTGTCATTTATTATGTCTATATTTTAGGTTCTGTCTCCACAATATATTGTGCCAATTACCAAGAGGTATTCTAGGCATAATAACTCTGAACTGCTACATACACACATACACACAAAATAAAACCAAATGAATTTGGACTCTCCTCACTGGTTAGGATTAATTGCTGACTTTCGTATTGCATTATGAAAAAAGGTTGTACTATGCAAAACTGCGGAAAGAAGCTTCCCTTGCATAATAAAATAATTGTTAAACCATTCAGAGGCACCTATTTACTGTGTCAATTAAAATAATCTTCACTTATTCATTGAGCTAAGTTGGTTAAAGCAACTTAACATCATAATGTTAATCACTAGCTGCTGCAGATAAATGCACATGATGTAATACAACAGTTATAAAATGTGTCAAAAATTTCTAAAGTAAAATGGTGTGTCAAGCCAGATCACAAAATCTTCTGAAATAAATTTAAAAATTACAACGCATGTCTTATTTTTCTTAAATACTAGTCAGCAAAAAAGAGCAAAACATTTCAGAAATCTATGTATGATGTGCTGTTCCAACTTCCAAGCACTCCTACCCACCCCTACCCTAAGTAGACCAGAGAGAGGACAGTTAATGACAATGTCTGAAAAACTTCACTATGATCTTCTAATCTGGAGGGAGAGAGTAAGGAGATTGCCAAGGGAAAAAGATGTGGAAAGCTGTGTGCTGGAGATCTGCCTTTCCCACCACCACAGTAATTCATAGATGGGGAAATGGTCCAGATTCATCAATGTGGGTCTCAGGGGTGGAAGAAAAGGAGAGAACCTGATTGTGCTCACTGAGCCAATTAACTCCATAAATAAAGAAGGCTTTACTAGAACCAACGACAGGCATAGAATGCTGAAGGAAATAGGGGCAGGGTAGAAGGCTGGCAAAAAGAATCCTGGAAAGTTCCTTTTAAACTTCTCCTCTCCCATCAGGAATGGTCAGCTCCAGGGTTAAAACATTTAGGTTTGTCTCCTTCCCCTCAGCTAAATGGGAGGACAGTGAAAGTGGCCGCTGTGGAGAGACACATTAGATGACTGTTCACAGGAATAAAGATGTGTGTGTATTCACTTTTTAATTAATTTGGTTTTTTTTTTTAGAAAAGGTAGTGGTTGAAACACCTAATTACTTTGAAAACATTTATATTGAAAAGTCTCACTCCTTTCCTTAATTATCCATACTGTTACCCCATGGTTTCCTATTGTGATCAATTTTATGAGTTTCTCCTATATCCTTGTTTCTTTATGAATATATTCTTTTTTTCAAAAAAGTATCATTATTCACACACACACACAAAGCCAAACAGCAGTAGATAGATTCCTTTTCTTTTTAATACTATGACCTCTGACTTTCCGCATAAGCACATAACTTCCTCACTCTTATTTACAACATAATCTTCCAGCATGTGGATGTACATAACTGTCCCAGTCTAGGATATATGAGTTGTTTCCAGTCTACTAGTATGAACAATGCTGCAATGAATAACTGTGAAAGTCATTTCATACATGTGCAAGTTCATCTGCAGAATAATTCTTCCAAATGGGATTTCTATGTCAAAGAAATGCATTTGTAATAGCGATAGATTTAGCCAAATTGCTCTAAGATTGAACTCTTTTGTTTTTAACTCTATAGAATAACACCCCCAACTCCACCCCTTGCCCCAGCGAAGATCTAAAACTACAAAGCTACGAATTACAATGGACCACAGCCCAACTGAGCTAATCAAACCCCCTGAGGCAAAAGAAACGTGGAAAAACATCACCCATCAGCATGAAGCCCTGAAACGGAATCTGACGGGAAAATCGGAATTAGTCCAAGACAGGAAGAGTGGAGAATCCAGAATGTGTCCACTTTATATCCAGGCAAAAGAGGGTCCCAAAAAATCCTCCACACTAAATAGGAGCAAGATGAAAAGAACAGCTTGGCAAGTATGCAAAAATATTACAGGAAATAAAAAGAATATAAAAAAGAATCCTAGCATGCAAAAGACAAAAAAAAAAAAAATCCATTTTCATTAAGACTGTGTGCTCTGGAATCAGACTGCCTGAATGTAAATCCCAGCTCTGCTATAAAAAAACTGGGGAGACTTTGTACAACTTACTAAATACCTTTGTGCTTTGATTCCACAAAGTATAAAATGGTGATAATTATAGTATCTACATTTAGAGTTTTTATATAGATCAAGATAGCTTAGAACAGTTTCCCATAAATGTTAGCAACCATTACTGTTACTAAGTACATAACAAAGAAGCTAAAGAAAAATTTATACAACAAATGCTTATGTTCTAGGACAGTGCTACTCAAAGTGCAGTCCATGGACAAGATGCAGTCTCTGAACTGCTTGGTGCCAGTCTATGACAAGGAGATTGTGCCAGGATGTAAATCAATTATATCAGTTAATTGTGCTGTTTAGTTCAGCTGATACTTTTTTCATAGCAAGACATTCTCAATGAAGAAAGCAGCATGGTTTACATTTGGTGCATGCTTCTTACATTACTGTGGGCAAGCACTTTGAGTAACACTGCTCAAGAAGACACTAAATATGTAACCAATGAAATGAAAATATTAAAGAAGAGAAAACAGAATTAGATGAAAAGGAAGACTCTAGACAAATCAAGGACCCAACACCATTAGGAAAAAATAGAAACAGCAAATGGAATAAGTATGACTCAAAACCCTATCAGTTAAACATGGTGGAAAGACTTGAAATAAATATCACAGAATATGGAAAGGAAAAAAGACAATAAGAACAAAACAATTTGGAAAAAAGATATAGCTACAGAGATTTAAAAAAAGCAACCAGTGTAATGAAAACCAATATATCTAAAATCCAATGAGCATAACAAAAAAATTCAGACATAACAGATTCACCACCCTAATTCAAATGATCAGTCTTAATGATCACAACCAGACAATATAATTAGATATGATGTACACAGCATAATGTATGACAGAATTTGCTAATGATGTTGAGTAGGCACAGAATATAGTCTGGGGTTTGGGGGAGAGGTCCAGCCAGGAGAGGTATATTTGACGTTTATCTATGTATAGATTATATTTAGCACCTAAAGACTATATGAGATTATTAATAGAGTAGATAGAAAAAGGAAGTGGATTTCAGACTTAACAGCCCCCACAATCATGTGAGTCAATTCCTTAAAATCAATCTTGATCTCTCTCCCTCCCTCCTTCTCTCTTTCTCCCTCCTTTCCTCCTCTCCCTCTCCCTCTCTTCCTCTCTCCTTCTCCCCGCCGCTTCTCTCTCTTTAACCTACTGGTTCTGTTTCTCTAGAGAACCCTAATACAACCTTCCTTAACAATTTGTTGCCCTAGAATTAAGAGTTAATGTTTGCATTTTTAAGACATTATGACCACTTGGGAAGAGAGGGTCCCAAACAATTGTTAAGTAAATAAAATACATGCACATATACAATTTTAAATATGCCCATGTGTTTACCACAGAAACACATGTTTAAATCATTGCCCCTGAAATTTAACACATCTAAAATTGAGGCAGCCTTGGAGAGCCTTTAAGTTTTCTTTCCAATCTAAATAGCACCATCTTGTGGCAAATACGTGTAAAATCAATGGTTTCTTCATCTGTTCAATTAATAAATGTGTTGTTAGAAAACTTACTCCGCACCAAGACCTGCTGGGTTTTAGGGATGTGAAGTGAGGACAAGTAGACGACTGGGACTCACTGTGCTCGTGC